GAGCAGGAAGAGGTGGTGTGTGGCGTGAGTGACGTGTATGTGTTTGGACTGTGTCCTTGCGGGAGGGGGGCGCGTGCGACGTATGCGCGCGGGGCGCAGCTTCTAGTGGCAGGCAGGCAGGCGTGTGCGCTTCAACTGGGGCGCCCCTGTGAAAGTGCTGACCCAGCCCGGGCCCGAGAATCTCTGCCCTGACGATCCCACAACCAGGGAGCAGCGCCGCCGCCGCAGCGCGGCCCCCGCGGAACGCGGCGCTCCGGAAGCCGCCCCTGGCCCCCCCCCCCACTGCACGCCCCGCGCACCGCTGCAAAAGTTTGAGGGCTCGTTCATGTCTGGGGGATCAGGGTTAATTGTGATGTGTTGTTATGGTTTTAAAGGGCGAAAGGGGGGGCGGTAAGCATAACACTTACACTGCTGCCGATGTGGTGAAAGCGGTGGAGAGCATGAACAGGTGGGGCCAGTACAGGGCCCGGTTCGGCTGCGCCTCCGTGCCTGGCGGCAGCCGTAGCGAGGAGGCCCCCCTCGCCCCGGCCCCCTCCCTCTGGTCCGCCCAAGGCCTTGCGCGCGCGAGCGCACATGCAGACGCGACCCACTGTCGTGACCGGCTGTTTGATGGTGGGTGCTGATTCGTTGGTTTGCCCACGCTCAAGCAATGAGAGCGGCCCGTCCCCTCACCAATCCATATCCCATCGAAGGGCAGGAGCTGGTGCATCGCCGCCAGGCGGTCGGCCCACCACTGCCGGGTGTCAGGGTGCAGGAAGTCGGGGTAGTGCGTGGCCCCGGGCCACACCTGGCGGGGGGGAGAGGCAGGGAGAGGACTTCGGCGGGGCACAAGGGGAGTGGAGCGCAATAGAGCACACGGGCAGTGCAGTGCAGTGCTCGAGGCGAGGGGTTGGAGGGCGACTGAGACCCCAGGTGGACACTGCCATGACCGTTCTAAGCAGCCCCCCGTCACCAAGTGTTGCTGTTCTCCCGCGGCCCCCTGGCCACGTGCGCCACCCTTATCCTTACCTAATCAGCCTTCGCCAAACACCGCGACCCCTCAACTCGCGTTTGCCTCAACCTCCCCCCCAAAAAAAAACTATTACTGCCCCTCAACTAAATTGTCACCCAAACTAGATGGCCTCCAAACCCAAGTGGCCCCCAAATCAGCAGTCCCTTGAACCACCTGCCCCCACACTCCCCTGCGCCCCAAACCAGCTGCCCCCCAAACCAAACCGCCCTCCCCCCCCTTCAACCACCGGTCATCACCTGCCCCAGGTAGGGGGAGCCGTCCGCGTCCTTTATGAAGATGTCGGCTTTGGTCGCCGCCTCATAGGCGGGGTAGCCCGGGACAGGCGGGATGCCGGCGTCAAGGATGGGCACCCTGGGGGTTGCGGTAGATCGCGGCCAGCACGCCAGGGTGTAGACATGGACATGTGTTGATGTGTATTGTATGCATGTACAGGTGTACACATGTATAGTTTGCGTGATGTGATGTGCATGCCGCTGACCGCACGTTCCGCCTCTCCCTACCCCCCCATCCTCGGCGGCGGCCCGGCCCCAAGCTCCCCCCCGCCCAACGCGGCTGCCGCCGAAATCGCACCAGTGCTGCCCGTTGTCGTGGAGCCCCTTGATGAAGGCCGCCAGCTCCTGGGGCTGGTAGTTGACCGGGTCAGGCTGGAAGTTCCTGGGGTGGAGGTTTTTGTTTTGGGAGTGCGGGGTTAATGGGGTGACTGTGGGGGCGGATGAATAGGGGAGTGGGAGAGCAGGGGGTTGGGGGGGGGAAGGTGGGCGGGAGGGGAGGCTGAGTGTGCAAAGAGTGGGCGAACCATGAATAGCAGGTGAGCGGGTGCGAGAGGGGTCAAAGACAGGAGCTCCGAAAGAGCACCTTTGAGCTGACGCCGCTGAACGCATGATCCCTGTCGCAGGTAAGCATCACCGGCAACCCCAGGGCTGTGGGGAACCCGAAATTCTACCGCCCCTGGCGCGCCCCGCGGGCCGATTGGCGACAAAGCAACCAGGTGTCACCTGAACCGCTCCATCCAGTCTATGTCGCTCCACACCACCTCCAGCGGCAGGTCCGCCCTGGCGTACCCCGCCACCACGCCCCGCAGCACACTCACGTTCCGGTACCTTGGGGGGGCGGGGGGCGGGGGACAGGTG